CCAAATATATACACATAACACGTATTTTATAGGAAATACTTCATAATATTGTGTTGGAATGAAAGTAACTACACACTCACTTGATCAGAAGATGATCGGGCAGCACTACGGCTTGCAGAAGAGGTGTTTCTCCGTAGATCTGGAAGATCTTCACAAAACCGGGCTCCTCGCGGGCAGCGTTTCGCTCGGGAATAACGCTCTTCGGATTCTCGGGGCTTCGGATCTTGCTTCGGGGCTCGAGAATATTACCGGGGCTTCGGGGTATAAACGGCACGCAAAACGAGGCAAAACTTAGAGAGAAAGAAGAGTTTGAACAAGAGAAAATGGCTGAATTCGAGTTCTATTTATAGGCTGCTGGGTCTGGGATTACGCGGGGCGTACTCATATTACGCGGGGCGTACTCAGTACGCGGGGCGTACTCGGGTTACGCGGGGTGTGTACTTTGACGTCACTGCGTGCATCGACTGGTGGCACTCGAGTATTGGTCAGACAAGTTGCAACCGACTGAGTACGCGGGGCGTACTCAAATTACGTGGGGCGTAATTGACTTGTCAAACTTCTAAATTGCGTAACTTTCGCATACGAGCTCCGTTTTCGACGTTCTTTATATCCACGCGAAGGTCAGACCGTACTCTACAACTTTCATTTAGACTCCGTCGGCTAATTTTGACTTTTATTTTTATTATTTATTTTTAGAAGGCCGAAGACAGAAAAACTTCGTTATAAATTCATAACTTCTTCGTCTGACGTCCGTTCTCGCCTAACTTTTCATTGCTTCGCTACTAACAACAAGATCTTCGATTCTCATTTAGATTGTTTCAGCTAAAAACCGCTCGATCTCAAATCGAGTATTCGGGCTGCATACTGCCACGTTGAAACTTCAGAAAATCATAACTTCCTCATACGAAGTCAGATTTGGGCGTTCCTTTTATGCACGCTCTCGGTTTAACGAAATCTACGACTTTCGTTTAGATCGCTAAGGCTAAATATCGTTCTATCTTAAATTCATATTTTACGTCACTCGGCGTCGTGCCGGTTCTGTCTCGAAACTTCGACAGGTCATAACTTCTTCGTTATAACTCGGATTTTGGCATTCCTTATATCTCCGAAATCCTTGTTTCAACCACTACAACTTTATGCAAAGATATCGGGTGTATCTCACACTTTAATTTTGACGCTTATTTCATTCTTAATTCATTAAATTATAAAAATCAAGAAAATAAACACATAATTCACATAATTCACAAATAATACATTCTTATTATTTCAAGTTGAGTTACAAAGGTTAACCTAGACTATTACATTGCTAAAAATGGCAAGCCCAGAAACACAGGCGTTACACAATCATTGATGAAATGTGTAAGATTGTTGATGATCATGTGTAACATCTCATGTTCACAACCAAAATTTTTCATTTTTAGATAAGGCAAAACTACTTAATTATAAATCCATTATTAAGAAAAAAACATTTATTCCAAAATACATTTATCGAAAATCAGAGTAATATAAGAAATATGAAATCCTTAATACTACTGATGAGTGTGTATAGTCAAGCATTCGCCTTCCCACGATCAACGATAAAACATGAAAACATAAACAACTGGGTAAGCACAAAGTTTAGTGAGTTTGTCCCAAAATAACCAATACAACAAACGTATTATCATGCATAACGAGCCCATACTCATCAGAATGGAATGCTTTGGCCCAATAAGTCATCGGACTGGAATGCCAACATGCAACATATCAAATCAGTCATCGGACTGGAATACCCGGTGTTTGTTGGCATGCCGCCTTAACCCAACCGCTCTTCACGAGCTTTCGTGCCTACAAATTACAGTCGACCCGCACTGGGTATCTTGGCCTACATCATATAGCAGGACCACCCCAAACTATCCCACCACCATATTACTATCCCACGTAAGATGTTGTGATAAAAACCTACAAAAATCATTCATAAGTACTGAATGAGTATAAAAACAAAAATGACTTATTTTGAAAACAATATATATTAAAGACTAAATGTGTACAAAATGAGAAATATATTACCCTATCAAGTCATTTTTACTGGCTAACCTGAAGTAGCCGGTCATAAGGATTAAATATACAGTTTAACAAGTTGAAGGAGTAAATATAGACGAAAAAAAATCAATGACTAAATATGTAAAAATCAAAAATATATTACACTTTTAAGTTATTATCCCTCAAAATTAATATGATATGAAATAGAAAATAAATAAATAAATAAATAAAACCGTAGCATAGATTTAACCTTAGAGTGACGGGTGTGGGCAACGCCCTAATGACATTATCTGACGTGGCCTGCCCATAACGGCGCCATAACGCAGAAACACCGCCCTAGGCTCCCGTTATGGGGCATTACGTCAAGCCCCGTGACCATGGTAACGTATCGTAACGCCATTTTTTCGACCGTTGCATTTTCTTTTTCGTTGAAAAACGGTAATATTACCGTTTAAAAACGGTGAATTGTAAAAAAAAATTACTACTTATTTTTTTTAAACTATATCAATATATATATATATATATATATATATATATATATATATATATATATATATATATATATATCTTTTTACACTTCTATTTCTCTATATCTATCTCTATTTCTTTTATTATTATTCAAAACAAAAAAACCACTAACGATCAAAACCCGAATACCCATCCTCCGAAGACAAACACATCCACTCCATTAGTTTTTGCGGGATATGAGGGATACATGAACCTTCTAACCTCCCAAAACTCACCATAAATTCTATATTCCAACAATTTTTTCAATCCCGCCTCATCCCCACTACAATTCCCTACCTCGCCATTTATGCAACAAAATGCAAACATTCAACAAAACCTTTTTACCACATTCGGTCCCATACGCCAAACAGTCACACAACCACACCCACGCAAGAATCCGTTGCCGAGACGCAAACCGGGGTAGTCAGAGAGCATCGGAAAAAAAAGGAGACCAAAAAAGAAATGGAAAGAGGTTGTTGTTGGGACAGATGAAACGGAAGCACCTCCAACATGGTGGACACCGGAGGAAGAGCATGCGTTGGCAGAGGCTTTGGGCGGTACTTCAAAACAACCAACTATGGGGAACGATATGAAGAGAGTTGCTTTTTTGGGATGCCGTAATTGTCAAATTCCGCACGATTTTGAACAAGGGTAACACATATCGCAATAATGATATGCTCAGTGACAAATGGACTCAAATTAGCCAGAAGTGCACCAAATTCAATTCCATATACAACAAACTTTCTTCGCAACGTCAAAGTGGTGCCAATGATTTCGATGTGTTTAGAGCCGCGAGGGAGGAATATCACGTGCAAATGGGGCATATATTTGAGTATGAAAAAATATGGGAGATAGTGAGGAAAGATCCAAAATGGATGAAAACGCCAACATCATCGGAACAACAATCCAAGAGGTCTCATGGTTCGGGTTCGGTTGACATTTTCAACGGACACACGAATATCGACCTCAACGAGGACACCGATGAGATCCCGAACGAGTTTGACGACATTGAGGAAATCTCTCCGCCACGACAACCTATGGGGCTCGACAAAGCGAAGCGCGCTCAACGACATGTGGAGGAGAATGAAAGTCGGCTTCGAGAGCACGAGGAAATGAAAAAAAATTCGATGCCCACACGGAAATCGCAAATAAAATATATGAATTGCAACGAGAGCATTTGGATTTCCTTCGTCAAGAAGCCCAAGAAGATCGCATATCGAAGGATTTGACAATTCTTATGACAAACGAAGAAAATTTACCACCGAAGCAAGCTGAAGTGATACGAATGATGAAGGCAAAGATCGAGAGCAAATACTTGGGCGAACAATAATTTGTCGGTGTTTTATTTTAAAATTATTATGAGAATCGTGTGTTTTTTTTTCAATATATATATATATATATATATATATATATATATATATATATATATATATATATATATTTGGTTTGTATGGTATTTTTAGTTTACTATTTAATGAAATTATGTTTTATTAATTTATATGTTTTTTTAGATATATAACATAAATAAAAAAATAAAACGAATAAGAAATATATGAAGTGAATAAAAAAAAATAAAACAAATTAGAATAATAGAAACTAAAAACATTAAAAAAAAAATAAAAAAAAAATAGAAAATAAAATGTATTACCCCATATTATATTATTTGCCCATATTATTTGGTGTTATTTCCATTAGGAATGAGCATGAGTCGGTTTGGGTCGGTTTTTGGTTAAAACCAAACCAAACCGTAGAAAGTCAGTTTTTCGGTTTTTAAACCCATATTGGTTCGGTTTTTGCATGGGTCGGTTTTTCGGTTTTCCGGGTTCGGTTTATGGGTTTTCATTTTTAAACCGTGGGTTTATGAGCTCCTATTTTTTTTTTTCTATTTTTTGGGTTCAAACCTAGTGAAAATACGTTGCGATAAATAATATTTTATCTACTTTAAATATAATAAAATAAAGAGTACTAATTCTAGTATTATAAAAGTATAAAAGTGTTCAAAAGATCAAAGTTTAACACTATTAACAGTTTCTTGAAAATAAACATAAAGTCTAAAACTAAAAGTTTAAATCATAATATAAATAATATATATATGGGTCGGTTCGGTTTTTATGGGCGGTTTTATACGTCAAAACCGAACCAAACCGTTATTTGTCGGTTTTTATAGAATTCAAACCTAAACCGTCGGTTATTGTTTTGGTTTCGGTTTTTCGGTTTCGGTTATATCGATTTTTTTTCGGTTTTTCGATTTTTGGTTCGGTTTTTACTAGTCCTTAATTTCCATGACATCCACAATTTAGATGTCCGAGTAGCCTAGTATAGTAAATTTGAGGCGAGGTGGTTTGCGGCGATGTATGGTTGTACCCTGGACACGATCTCGTGTTCCCGACCACTCAAGTAACCTCCTGTTGATTCATCTTCTGGTCTTTGTTATGTCAAATTCAACCCAATTCTCTCTCTCAATCGGCTGAAGGATGGATTATTATAAGGTGCTGGGTCTGAGTAGCAACGCTACCAAAGACGAAATCAAAGAAGCATTTAGGAATATAGCCAAGAAATTCCACCCCGATAAGCACTCTGCGTCTCCGAAATCCGTCAGGGATGGTGCCACCGTCCGATTCAAGCAGGCATCCGAAGCTTACGAGGTTTTAGTCGATGATCACAAGCGCGCTGATTATAATCTCCGTTCTAATCGTAGCAATCAGGGCGGCCCAAGTGGTTCCGGGTACGGGTATGGATATGGGTACACATATGATAGCAGGAAGAACCGTTCATCTAATTATGATTACTACAGCAAGAAGGCATCCGTTTCTAGGTTTCAGATCGCCCTTGGATACATAAACAGTCGTGCATTCCTTCTCAATGTTGCTTTTGCTGGGTATTCCTCTGTCTCTTGAGCTAAAATTATCATGATTGCTTTTGAAATTGAAAACGATCATGTTTCTAGGTTTTAATTCTTTTAATTATCACCACTTTTTCGAAAACCTTATAGCATGATTTGTAGAAATCCTTATTCCTTCATCAGTAGAAACCATCACAGAAGGAATCTTATGTCCCTTTCCGTTTGATAGCTGCCATTTAATATGCCAGATTGCCCTCAGGCCCCTCACTTCCCACATCTTATTTCCTTCCCGTTCAATATTTCACATGATCATCATGAATCATACCTTTATGCTCAAACTTGTTTCCCAAATGATGATTAACTGAGTGATACAGAAACTTTCTGCAGGGCTATATTAAGTGGTCTAGCGGTTGTTGAAATAGGCAGAGATGCAATCTGGAAGATGCAGAATCCAGGTGTATGTTACTTGTCCTTTGTAACTTACTATGTTCACTTTCAAGTGTTTGCATACCCAATTTACAGCTCAGAAGTGAAAATCATTCTGCTTTAACATTTGGGGTTGTGACTTATTTATGCAACAAAAGACACAACGGAGTGGCTTTCTTACCAATTTATGCTGCCAACATTTACCAATGTGTGAAATGTGAATGTATGCATGCATAAATTGGCAAGTGGTTGAGTTTGTTGCATAAATTGGTAAGAGATTGAAACATTGTTGCATAAACAGGGTAATGGCTGAGAGTGATATTGACAGTTGTGCATTTTCTTGTGTGAAGAAATCATTTGAAGAAGCAATGGAATCTATGCAGAAGACAAAAACAGTGAAGGAAAAGGAATAATGAAGAGGTGTAATACTCTCCAGATTCTATACAAGTAACAGAAGATGAACACAAATATCAATGGTGCATTGAATCTGAAATGTAAGTTGTATTTTTTTTTTTAAGTTTTTATCTCTGGAAAATTCTATTCACCTCTACTTTTTGGAATCCAGTATAATCGTTTCGGCCAAGAATAAAATCCTCCTTTTTTTTTTTTTTTTTGGGTAATCAGCCAAGAGGAGCTTGTTGCAAAAGAAAAAGTGGGCGATGTTTTTTGTACAAAAATAATTAACAAGGGAAACAACAATTTTTAGCTATGATGATGTATTTTCTTACGTCCAACCTAAAGAAAATGAATAGAGATATAAATATGAATGTAGGTGTAGGTGTGACATTGATGTTTATGTTATGAATTATGAGGTTTTATGTGCATTGATTATGTTATTTTGATGTCAATTCAAATGAAAGTGTAAGAATATGATATATTACAGAAGTTGAATTTTACCGATAAGTGTTCTATGTATTATATATTTTACAAGTTGTATAACTGTGTAGTGTAACCAACAGAGAGATAACATTGTGTTTATTGTAAACTTCACTAATGCAAACACTTACAGGTTTTGGTTATTATGATAAAACCAAGATGTGATTTTACACTTGGACTTTTTCGTTATTCTTTCTATCTTTGTATATTCTATCAAGCATATAAATAACCGTTTTATTTACAAAACCTATAAACAATATTTCAAAGGTGAGACTCGATAAATAAAAAATAACCTTTTTTTGTTCATGAATATAAATGAAGAATTCTTTCTCGATTATGAATTTCTGTGACAAATACAAACAAACAAGACAAACAAATCTGATGATTGCATACATAGGTGAAATCTTTAAATGATGATTGAATTCCAGCCATGTAAAGACTCTATCCTTCACATAAACAGATGGAAGAAAGAGATTTCTTTGATATCTTTGAAGTGTACATAACACCAGATATGTGAAAAGTTTGATATGGCAATTACTTTTCTATTAGTCACTCTACTCTCTACGCTACACAATATTTGCTTTGCAAAAACCCCACCATGAGGCTACCAAACAAAGATGTCATTTTAAACTAAAATTAAAAAACAATGGTTAGTATATTGGGAAAATCCAAAAATTAATCATTCCCAACAATTTAGGTCCACCATTTGACTAAGAGCATGTTTGGGATTCCTTCGCGTATTTATTGACTTTTTAGAAAAATAAGAAATTCCTGATTTTTTTGGAAAAACCATTTTTTCTTTTTGCCTATATAATCATTCTTTGTGAAACACCTTTTTAACTATGATTTAAAAACCATTAAGCTAATAAGTCATTTTAAAAAACACTCCTTAAAAAAATGAGCCCATGATTTTTTGATTCAAGTATATGAACCAATAGAAGCATACATATTTAGGTTATGTTTGGCGCGCTACAACTAATTGATAAGCTAGTTTATTTTTTGAATTTTTTTATGTTGTTGTGTTGGTAAGCTAAAAAGTAGCTTATAAGCTAGCTTTTTGAAAAACTACTTAGACTAGCTTTTTAAATTTTTTTTTTTTAATTTCCAAATAATAATTAATTATAGAAACACATATTCTTACATGTAGTTTTCTGTAATTTTATATATTTCAGCTAGTTTTACAAAACGTTATTTTTTATCAGCTAGTTTTTCAGCTTTTTATTTAACAACTATCTTTTCAGCTAACAGATAACTTTTCAGTTAGAACACCAAACATAACCTTAAAATTACTTGTTCATCCTTTTTTTAGCTAGAAATTTCAAACTATTCATTTTGAAAATAAACCAAACTAAAACAAAATATTCAAAGGTTGTAACATAAATAATGTTTTATGGTTTGTATTTTTTAAACTTTAAGAGTTTTTTATAAGATAGTGTATATATATATATATATATATATATATATATATATATATATATATATATATATATATATATATGGGAAAAGTGAATATACTCTTAAGGGTATATAAACTTAGGTATCCAAATTCACCGTTGTTTTGTATCATATAATATATGTAGTTATGTATTATATGTACGTGTGTTATAGGCTCATAGAAGGAATCTGATTGGTACAAACCAGAACCCTAATTTATTAAAAAAATGATTCTACACTAATTGGTATTTGGTAATGACAATACCCAACTTGTTTGACTAGAAAAAAGTCAAAGTATCTAAATCTTAGATAAAGGGAACACAAATGTGAAGAAAAGAAAATCTAAAATGTACTTTGTATAGATGAATTGTCATCATATATAGAAGGATTGATTTTTTACAAACCTCAATAAAATAAAAAATAAAAAAAAACTCTGGTTAGTTGATCTTCTGTTTCTTTTTCTTCTCTGGTTTTGAACGACGCGTGAGCAACCTAAATGTCCATGATGCCAATAGAGTCGCCTCAATTGGGGCAAACCAATAAACAATTATATGCTCCTTTCTTTTATGAACACCAAATGCATACGCCCATCCAACAACCTAAAAGATTTATTAAAACTAATAACTATCAGTTTGTCAAGTTCAAGAGAAATACCGAAGTTAATGGGATAAGATTGAATGTTAAAGGATACTAATACTTACAGCAGCTGGATTCATGCATCCACCAGTTAAATCAGATCCGAGTATATGAAGAGAAAATTTTAAGATGCTACTAATCCATGTCTTCATATAGAAACTGCCATTAATGCTTCGGTCAAGACCAAGTGTGATGAGCACCTGTGAGAATGTCAATAATCCTTCTGTCAGTGCACCCTGATGGAGGTTGATCACCAGCGATGGCCCACGCCATATCTCAGGAAATGTCTGAATGATAAGCCTCACTGCAACAATCGATCCAGCCACCTGTCATTCATTCATAATCAAACATAAACCACCTTCAACTAACAAAAATCTAATCCCATTCCGAAGATAGGATCAATCTGAGTCGATACCATGAAAACGGGATTGGCAAAAGATCAAACATGTTGCAGAAGAAAATGATAAAAATTGTAACGGACCTGAAAGGGGATTCTTGCGATGTTGAAGAGAAAGGTGGTAAAAGATCCATTGATGGCGGATGTAAAGACAACAATGGGATTGTACGCCCCGCCATTGGTGAGTTTAACCAGATGAGTAAACAAGAACATGTTGAGAATGGTGAGAACAGACCTAACGAATTCGGAAGCGTGATCATGGATGCTCAGCCCTAAAACAACGTGAGTAATTAATTTGATGAAAATGCCTGACCAAACCCATATGAAAGACATTATCATATCTGTGATCATCAGCTGCGCCATTCCCGCCATTTTTAGAAGTGGTTGGTCTCGATTTGACAACCTTCTTTTCTTTCAAAATGGGTTCAGTATGACGAATTGTATGTAGTTTCAGTGAATTCTATCGATTACATTGAAAAAATGTGATATGAAGGATCGTGGGTGTATGAGGAAAAGGGGAACGAAAAATGGCGGAATTGCATTCTTCAGAAGATTACTGCTACCACAGGAAAGTATCGTCGTTTTCCGTTTCTAAGATGAGCATTTGATCCCATTTCTACCATTACAATTGTAACCGCTGTATGAATTTACCTTTCAAGAACTTGTGGAAACAACCCTCAAAAATTCATTAATAATCTAGAAAAATATATTAAACATCTAAACAATTTATAAAAGGTTAAAAATACATAACCATAATGATTGTTATCGATTAAAAATATACGGTAGATTGTTACATTATTATTTAATTTTCATATAATTTTACCATTTGATTTTGTATTTAAATTCTATAAAAGCTCAATAAAAAAATATTTAAACAATTTTTTTATTGTCAATAATTGTGTGTTACATTTTTTTTTCAGGATAATGATTTAGGAGGGTAATAAGGTTTCCAACTTGTCTGTATTAGGTCACTAAGGTTTTTTTTTGTGCGTATTAGACCAATATGGTTGTTATTACCGTTTAGAAATATAGTCATTTTACCGGTTTTAACGGGTAAAAAAGACTATTTCTAAACGGTAATAACAACCATATTGGTCTAATACGCACAAAAAAACCTTAGTGACCTAATACAGACAAACTGGAAACCTTATGACCCTCCTAAGTCATTAACCCTAATTATTTAGAAAACATACTTATTAATCAATGTGACTGATTTGTTTGACTGAAAATAGTTGCTTCCATTTAAACTTATCTCACAACCCTTTCAGAACTTCTAAGTCCAAAAACTCATTTGATTGATGATCTTCATTACATAAATATGCAATATTTTATCAATAACTTCTTTTTTGTCATTTAAATGTTTACATGAACACATCCATATGTAAAAAACAAAATCTCACTTTGATACCTCCCATCAATGTCTACATTTGATAACGGATAAAAATGTAAAACCAACAGGGACTTGTATAGGATGTCTATTATCAATTATTTTATAAAAACAAAACCACAATATGAACTAAGAAACTAAAATTGCAAAATGAATAAAAAATCAACACATAAACAAATACATACATACTATATACAACACATAAACGGAAGTTTATAAAGCATGAAACTTAATGATAGGAAAAGTAAAAAACTTAAAGGAGACTTTATAGAAAGAAAGATCACCCTTACTTGCCACAAATAGTTGAAGACATCAACAAGAAGATCAATCTGACCATAGAATCCACATGTTGTCTCGATTTGTGTGTGTCATCCTTGCACAGGGGCATGCTAATCTTCTCTGTATCGTTCCAATTTTATCGGATGTCTCCAAAGGGACGACTATAGATGAAGAGCTTCACCATATAGAGGAGTAGCAAGTTATATGGGACGACGCGAGTTCTAAATGAAGTAGTTTACTGTTGATGGTCATATATTCTCAATGTCTTTAAAAACAGGGTTAATGACTTAGGACGGTAATAAGGTTTACAGTTTGTCCGTATTAGGTCACTAAGGTTTTTTGTGAGTATTAGACCAATATGGTTGTTATTACCGTTTAGAAATAGTCATTTTTACCCGTTAAAACTGGTAAAATGATTATTTCTAAACGGTAATAACAACCATATTGGTCTAATACGCACAAAAAAAAACCTTAGTGACATAATACGGACAAACTGAAAACGTTATTACCCTCCTAAGTCATTATCCCTTTTTTTCTCATCGAAAAATTCAATGGTCATTAAATTCGTTATATTTAAGGATGGTTAAATTCAATGGATTATCCCAATAATAGACATATTTTTGGGTATTTGCCAAAATATAGATATAAAAAATGATATTTCCACATATAGACATGCAATCTTCGAAGGTACCTCTGAGGGCTCCGCGGAATGAACTTATGCTCCGAGAAATTGATGTGTCAAAAAAAAAAAAAAAATGGAGCGTCGCAGAACAACATCGATTCCTCAGTGAGAGATATAAGGAACTGTTCTTCAACGTTCATCATTTCGCGAAACTGTTCTTCAATTTTTTTGTGTGTATGTGTTTTTTTTTCTTTGCCACATCGATTTCTCGAAACATAAGTTCATTTCACAGAGTCCTTGAAGGTCGCTCTGAAGATTGCATGTCTATATGTTGAAATAATCTATTATGGACATAATCCCTAAATTTAATCCATTCAATATCAACTAAACATTTAACCTCCTTCAACTATTCTATTAAATTATGTTGTGTGATACTCTAAATATACATACAACTATTCGACCAAAAATGAAGAATTAAATATTGTTTGGTTATATTGCACCCCATTTTAGTTGGTTTACTCTCTCATTGACCATATATGTTACTGAGATATGTCAAAAATCTTGAAAAATTATAGTATAACATTGGTGGATTAATTTAGAGTAGGAAAAAATGTGGTTTCCCAATCAAATGAAGCCTATAAAAACGAAAAAGTCAATAATACTTGTGGCATGTCAAATTGGGTCGATAGGTAAGAATCGGCCGGTTTGCCAAAAAAAAAAAAAAAAAAAAAAAAAAAATCTTAAAATCCAGCCTACTTGACCCCTAAAGATGGATTTTTGCAAAAATATAATTATTAATTTTGAACGCTTGGTTTACTTTTCTTTTTAAAAAAAAAAAAAAAACAATTTGCAAATGCCATTTCCAACAACAAATGATATGAAAAGAGTTGTATTGTTTTTCTAAGGGGGTGTTTGAATTAGCTTAGCTTATTTGTGGTGGGAATAAACAATAAACAATAAGCAAGTGAGAAATGTTTGTTAAAATTAGCTTATTTAGTTTATTCCTAAAATTTTTAAAAATTTTATCCTAATACTTAAACTTAACTTTTTGTGGTGGGAATAAGCAATAAATACTTTTTTTCCTATCCAAACACCCCCTGAGTTTCCTTCTATCTCTTGGTCATTATTTTTTGTTACATCAAACACCTACATATCTTTCTCTTTATCTCTTATGTGAGATAAGTTTGGATAAATATTAATCATTTACATTGCAATTTTAAGTATAAACCTTTCACCAAAAAATTTATTTATTTATTTATTTCTTCTTTTTTTTATCAGTAAGTCATGTCTTAATGTTTTTTCAATATAAGGCCTAAATTTTTTTCTCATAAATGTTAAATAAAATTAAAAAATTAGATGCATCCTAAGACCCACCTTGCTAAATGCTGGCTCCGGCCATGATAACATACATTTTTATTTATATAACTTATGAAAGTGTAGGTAGGTTGTTAAAAAAAATCATGGGTTTAATTTATTAATTTAAAATTTAGTTAATGAAATGTTACATATATTTCAGTTTTTTGTGAGGGCATGAGTCATTACAATATTGGCGTATGTCTACACTTTTATTAGTATCCTTGGGTAGAAGATGCACAAGTACTTTTTTATCAAAGCAGAATCTGGATTTGTATATTGTTAATTAATTTTTATACTCACTTGATATAACTGTTATGAGTAAGTACCGATAGCATCACATGTTATGTTTTGAACACTGATAGTGCCATGCATCTTGTTTTATTGGTAATGATTTCTTATGTATAGTGCTTGCTTCATATACAAGACATTCGTCTAACAAACAACCTACATGCTCCTCTAGTAAACCGTCAACAAGAGGAAAATATGTGGGATTTGAAACTCATTGATCTAGAAAAACGATCTATTTGAAAGACAAACATCACTACCTCAAAATAAGCAAATAAACACGTATTATTCCCTGAAAATAACACGGTTCCGTGGGTCTACTGAAACCTTGTGTAGCTGACTACCATCAATCACTTTTGGTCCTGTGGTGAGTTTTTATGTTCATCCTTGCCTTTTAAATCTTTATCAGCTGCTGCAGCTGAAGAACCACAAGTCTTTGGCAATGTTTTGTCATCCTTGGGTTCCCCATTGAGTTTTACTTTTGAGGTACGCATAGATCCACCAAATCTACGTGACATTGACGCATCCTCATCCTCATCCTCATCCTCCTCTTCAACTGTCACCCACTCTCTAAAATCAATAGCAGGTGGCAATTTAGAACCAAATATGTCCTTAAGGTTCTTCATAAACCCTTCATTATATGGATTTTTCTTCTTCTCGTATCGATACCGAAAGTTTTCGTAAGTTGTCTACAATATACAACCAAAAAAAATTTACTTTCAGGAGAGGAGGAAACTCTAAGTAAATTTACCGATTTGCCATTGCCATTGCCATTGTTTATCTAACCTGGTTTGTGGAAATAAGAAAAATATGGAATACGCAGAGCCCACCAACAAACCAAGCGCATACGAAAGAGTATCCTACAAGTGCAACCGAGATAGCGTCTTTTGATAAACAGTTCCACAAGCTCCCGTGTTGCCGGATTACATCGATCAATGAAAACGTGAACACGTAAATACACAACGCCGTTGATGTCATGATGAATACGATAAAAAATCGATAGTTGCGCTGCAAATCCATTAACCATGGTTACATAAACTTTATGCCATCAAAAAAGATGGATTGGTCCTTCGTATGTGAAAAAGACGACATTAAAAATAACCCTAAAAATGTTATGACGCTACAGTCTAAGTTTAACTGATATACAAACAAATTTTTGTGGACTTACACCTCCGATACATTGGCCTACCCACGGGCAATGGTGATCAAAACGTTGAACACAGTTATTGCAAACCGAGCAATGAGAAGCACGGGGTGGGCGATAGAGCATGCAGGTGTCACAGTATTTAACTTTTATGGTGTGTCCATTAACGAGCATATCTTTGATTCTTGGTATCCTCATACTCATCACCGATCCGTTCATCCATTTCAATGATTGTGATCGGAAACTGAACGACTCTTCACATTCCGGTGGTCGTTTGTTCCGGCGAACTATTCCGGGGTTACTTGCGGATGTCACGAAGAGAAAAATTAGATCCTGTGTATACAATTAAGAAAGACGAGTTAATTCATAAAATTTAAGGTCAACTTAAAAAAGAAAAGGTAACATACCAATACTGTGAGGATTATTCCTATAGATAATTCCACGAATCCAAAGTTGGTTTTGTCTTTTTTGATATTGACTAGCATTTTGATGCAGAAGGTGATTGCCGGAGCTCCGATAAGGATTGAAGATAAAATCACTGACCCAGCATCCGCGCCAAAAACCAATCTACCGCCACAACAGAATTTCTGCACAAGGTTCCTAAAATGTATTCATGTCTATTTTGATTTTTGAAAGCCAAACTTTCGTACTTTTGAAATGCCATACTAAACAATATGCTCCTCAATATACATATACATTCGTTTCGTCTTTGAAGTCAAAATTTTGAATTGTAGAAAACCCATAATTCTCCCAGAAAAAGTCATGAAAAATTGAAAACATGATAACAATTAATTACTAGATCAATTTGAGATTTATCTAATAACCACGGTAGTATGTACAGTTTAACATCTATATCAGTTTTTCATGTTTATTTTGAAGATGTTGCAGGTAATCAATAACTTTGAAGATGTAATGATTATAAGATCAATTTTCGTAATGAACGAATACCCACATAAGTATTTTAAAAATTTCATGCTCCTCTCTGTTGCAAGGAATACGATAATTCTCATAGGAAACAAATGAAATGTGATCATATTCCCAAATTAATTTGAGATTTAAGCAATACCCACAAGATAATTATGAAATTGCATGACGATAGAATAGGAGAATCAACTCACATTACGACCTTTCCAAACTTGATACAGCCTCTTAGTCGTGGGAGGAGGACGGGAGTTCGGGGTATCGCTTCCGCTCATCATTTTTAATTGTTGAAGATGGTTATCAGCCCATTCAGATTCAGACTTGAATTCAAACCAGGTGGAGGAAATCTGCTGTTTATAGAAGAGGGGGAGATCGATAGGGGGAGTTTATGTTTTGTTACGGATGAACAAACCCTCCCTCTCTCTCCCTCTCTCTCTAAATCTCTGCGTATTAAACTATGATATGTTATGCTTTCTCTTTCAATATCTTCTCTGTTTTTACGATCAACAGCTGCGGCCCCTGCCCCGGCTCTCCTCCTCTCTCTGATTAGAATTGCTGAAACCCAAATCGTTTTGGTATCTCTCTTTCTCTCCATCTTGTGACCGATAGAGTCGGAGGGTTCCAAAATCCCAAATAATTTGTGCTAAATTTTCGTGGGTATATGAGATGCATATCACATTTTCGGATAAAATAATCAAATGGGAATCCTTGCTATTTACCATTTCCAGTTTCCCTTATTTGATAACCCGAATTAATCGGGACCCATCTTGGTGATGAATCGGCAACTCAACCTCTACAATTGGCACTCACACCATGCCTCTGCAGAGTCTCAAGAGAATCTTACACATATGGAGTTTGTGGTACTATTTAATGTTAACATGGACTTTGTCATCTATCATTCAACAAAATATTTAAAATATTAAATTAAATAACGATAAATTATGAAAGAAGTGAACACGGGTTATGGCGAGGGAAAATAATGTATTTAAAGCTACCCGCGGGAATGTCGCTACGAAAATTGGAACATTCGCCATACCAGCTTTGTTGGCCGAGTAAGGACAAATCACAGTGACGAAGGTTTGAAGGTGTAAGCTGTATATGTGATGTTGTTGCCACCTATTTTCTGGGTAGATCCGTCCAAATTCAAATCCTAATTCCTGGGCTTTTCGTCTCCTTTCGTTCGTTGCGATTCTTTTTCATCATTCTCATGGGTTTTGAGTCGATCACAACAAAATCATTCAGTTTCCAAAACTCTAAATCCAAATTCTAAGTCTAAAAAGCTGATGGCAGAAGAGAAGAAGAACCCAAAAAGACAATATCAGCTCTGGAAAGGAAGCAATGTAAGTTCTTCTCACGTTTCCTATAGTTAATTGGAATTAGGGTTCGATTTTGCTCAACTTCAAATCACTTGGTTTGCTTGTTTCTTATGTCAATTCTACCATTACTTCTTTGCACTGAAATATTGTCAGGAACTTTTAACTTCAAATATAAGAGTCCGATACACTGCAAATGATATTTGATTACAATCTGATGTTTCAGAAATTCTTATGTGGGGGAAGATTGATCTTCGGTCCAGATGTTGCTTCTTTGTGTTTCTCCGTGCTCCTGGTTGCAGGCCCTGCTGTATCATTCTGTATTAAAGTCTACACCATCATCAACCACAATAAACAACACCACAATGATCCTGGTTATTATTGGTATGGAGTGTTGATTCTAGCAGCAGCCCTCACTTGTTTAGTAAGTAAACCTATCTTCATGGTTTCCATTGTTTTGTTATAACTACCTTCTTCTCAGATTCTTCAAACAACATTTACCTTATCTATCACACAACACACAGGACATAACATTTCTTTTGATGACATCCGGAAGAGACCCTGGTATAGTCCCACGAAACACCTCACCACCTGACACAGATGAAGGATTTGACATGAATACCCCTTCAATGGAGTGGATCAATGGAAGAACACCTCACTTGAGATTTCCTAGAACCAAAGATGTTCTTGTAAATGGTCACACAGTCAAAGTCAAATACTGTGATACTTGTATGCTCTATCGTCCTCCAAGAGTCTCACATTGCTCTGTCTGCAACAATTGTGTTCAAAGATTTGATCATCACTGTCCATGGGTTGGTCAATGCATTGGACTGGTAAGTCAACATTTATTTATAAGATTTCTTGATTTAATGGTTGAATTAAAATAACAGTTTTCTTTCTTCATCTGATTGCAGCGTAACTATCGGTTTTTTTACATGTTTATATCAACATCAACCATCTTGTGCCTATATGTGTTCATATTTTCATGGGTCAACATAGCTCAACAAGGAGACCACATATTGAAGACTATGTCACAAGACATTTTATCAGATTTTCTAATAGTTTACTGCTTCATTGCAGTTTGGTTTGTAGGGGGGCTTACAATCTTCCACCTTTACCTTATTTGCTCAAACCAGGTAATATAATCATTTTCATAATCTTTGTAATGTAAATGTCATATAAAGTTGATTACAATTTATCTTAATGCAGACAACATATGAAAACTTCAGATACCGATATGATAAGAAGGATAATCCATATCACAAAGGTGTAAAACAGAATCTTGTAGAAGTCTTTCTTTCACCAATTCCTCCTTCGCTTATTGATTTCCGGGGATATATTCAAGAAGATGACAGTATAGTGATGGATCCTATAAGTCCAAATCTTGGAGCTACTTCAAAGGAAAAAATTGACATTGAAATGGGAAGTAGTTTTGCAGAAGCAAGTGGGATTTCGCTTCCTGAAATTCTACAGCGTTTGCATTATGAGGAGTTAGATGAGAGCATGAGAAGTAAGGAGGGGAATGGAATTGTGGATTCCGTTCCATCTCCCTTCCTCTTTGAGGCAAATGGTGTGGTTGTAGAAAGGAAGTCTTGTATTGAAGTAGAGGAGAAGTGTGATGATGGAATTATAACTCCTGAAACCCACATTGGTCATCAAGTGTAGAGGCAACAAATATCCTGTTTCTTCATCAATATATAAATTGATAAGAAACTAAAATTCCTGAAACCTTTACACTGTTTTCATACATTTTGCAGGTTTGACATTCAAACTATTTTTTGGCATCATCGATCTATTATGTTTTTTTTTGTGCTTGAAATGACATTCTAGCGATGCTGTTTAATGCCATCCTTCCCAACATAAGTGCAGAAGCCTGCCAATTTATATGTTGAATTCAATCTTGTTGTAAATTCTGGATGTAATCAAGAACTCCCACAACAAATGAAGAACATGATTCTTGTTAGTGAAATAATCAAGAACTCGTTTAGTAGTTTGATTTTCAATTCCTTTTTTTTGTTGTTGTCAACATTTTTTCTCTATGTTGTAGAACTCGTTAGGTGCTGTTCAGTCGGCCTTTCAAAATTACAATTTACAATGGTGTGGCCTAATTTATTATTTGGGCCTTTTTCCTAATATATGTAAATAAGGATGGGCTTGATATATTTAAAACTTATGGCATATTCCTCCTAATTTGTCGTTTGGGCCTTTGCCCATTTTGTAACACAACAGTAACCCATTCTGAGTTTTTGTTTAATCTTTGTATAGCTAGGTGTTCTTTAACACCATTTTCATTCTAAATCACATTATAACTTCATGAACTTGTCTAACATAATTTGTATGGTTTATTTTCATATAAAATATAATTTTTAACAACATTTATCAATTTCTTTCAACGTTATCTTCCTAAATTGTAACTTTTCCACATCTTTGAGGTATATCCATATTCGCCTTTATATTCTTGAAACACCAAGTTTCAAAGGTTCTCATGACACATATGGTTTACAAGTGATATGCTCGCGGACTTTTCACCTGACAAAGTCTTTGATGCCTTGGGTGGGATTCATAAATTATTGAACTTTCATTTTGTCCCATTTCATTTCATAACAACAATGTAGTGTGTATTGTTTACTATTTTTTCCTAAACGCTTTCTTCTCATTATTTCTATTCTAAGACATATTATAACTTGTTCAAACATTTTTTTCAAATCAAATTTGACATTTAGGGAGGTAGCAAGTGGTTGCCTTCCAACCCACTATCACATCAACTTCATATTTTTTTCTTTCTCTCCTCTTTCTTCAATCTTTTCCAACCTACAACATATTGAAATAACATATTTTCTAACTTATTTAATTCATTGTCACATCACTATTTTTAATTTAATAAATTAGAAATACAAAATTAAATAAAACATAATTTTTTTTAATTAAAACTTAAACATCCCAAAAATACGGTCCAAAATTTTCATTTTCAAATCAATTACAAAACCATAGTTAACAATCCATTACATAAAATCATAAGTCATGTATCTCAAATATCAAAAACATCTATCAAACATATCAGAGTAAAAAAAATCTCAGACTGAATAAATGGTGTGTGCACTGCAGTCATCCCGAGCTCTTCCCTTTGCTACCGATAGTACCTGAAACCAAAACCAAAAACTGTAAATACGAAGTTTAGTGAGTCTCCTTAAGCTACCACATATCATACACATAGTCACATAAATTGGGCCTCGCCCCTTCCTCGGGCACCGCCCGACATCGGACAGAGTCCGGCATCAGGCCCCGCCTGGCATCGAGCCCCGCTCGGTATACATATTTGTTTCTACCAGGCCCCGCCTGTCTCTGTACCCCGCCTGTTATACACATACAGACAATAACATATAATCATACTAGCGAATAAAGAATCATACACAATACTATATACTTTTTTCTTAAGGCCTCGCCTATCATGGGCCCTGCTCCTACTCAGTTGATAATGAGATATGGAACCCCGTCCACTCTTAGCTAGTGGTGAGATATGGGACCCCGTCCACACTCACCTCCCTACTAGGCACATACGAGTATCACAAAGACAAAATGTATAACTAAACATGCATTCCTTCATCGGGTACCACCCGACATCGAACCGTAGTTTGGAAACATACATATAACCTTCCTCGGGCCCCGCCCGGTATCAAACTTTAGTTCGGAACATACTGATACCATAATCTACCCATTCATAGCATACTTAGGTGATACTGAGATACAAGCCCAACCCACACTTAGCTACTAATCATGAACAAGTATAAGATAAGGGCCTAGTCCACACTTAGCTACTCTACACGAGCCGATATTGGTGCCTTCGACCCGTTCCTACACGAGAAAACTCATATCACATGTTGACTGCAGAATCCCACGAATAGACCTCTCGTAGCTAGCTGGCACATCCCTGAACTGCTGATCTCTCGACTCCCCGAGCTACTGATCATCATATAAATTAGAAAAGTCTGTGATTCTTATAACTTAACCATAGGTCCTCACTGGGGTAGAAGACCATTCCACCCCTCCCATATTCTTGTCTAAATATGGACTCTACTCAACCTATTTGAACCCTTTCCATCCTTCATAACCCCCATGGTAAACCTTGGTCAAAGTTAAGGTCAAGGTTAAAGTCAACACTCCGAATTGACTCAACTCATCGAGTCATCCTCCTGACTCGCCGAGTTCCCTCGCTACTCATAGTCACGACTCACGACAGAACGAGTCAACTCGTCAAGTTTTGCCCTGTACAAAATCAGGAAAAATCAACTCAACTCGTCGAGTCCCTTTGTTGGTTTGGGTCATCTTAAAGGGTTAACCCCTACTCTTCTGATCCTGCTTCATGCTTCATCTACATACTGGAAATGACCTTTTAAGGTTAAAGTTTCCAACGTTACCCACTAATAGTCCTTCTTAATGGGTTTAGCTAAAACCCTAGTTCTCTAGGACATAGATCTTAGTCCAAAAGCCATAATACTCCAAACCAAGGTATACCAACATAGATCTATGCCTTAGACATCATTTGAACACGTGAAGCTCCTAACTTCCCTTCCATGCATGGCCTTTTAGGGCTTAAAAGGCCATAATAACACCTTAAAGCTTGCATGGGGCTTCCATGGTCATAAAGTTTGCACCTTTATGCCATGAAACCCCTTCTAGACCTCAGATCTGAAAGGTAGGTCACTTAGAAGTACCAGAATTATGTTGGACGTACTCCAATCAGACTCAAACCCTACTTTACAGTCTTTGATCCTATTTAAGCTCTTTATCTCATCACCTAACCCTAATATCTTCCGCCTCCATCTCTCTAAACCCTAGAATTGAAATGTTACCCCCCATTTGAGTGGCTTTTAAGCTTTTATTGGTATTTCATGTTTTTTAGTGTCCATAGAAGAAGAAGGAACTTTTTGGAGAAATGTGGGATGGATTGAAGCTTTTGGATCCAGGTTTGTTGCATTTTAATCTACATTTTGGAGGTATAAAGTTTCTATCTTGATGATCTTGTATGTTAGATCTAGTTCATGGAGTATTTTGTGCTTTTGAATTCTTTTGTAATAAAGATGGGTTTATGATCTACTCCAGAACAATGGGTGCTAGATCTTAGCTCAATTCATTAAATGCAAGCTTTATGATGTATTATGGTCCATGCAAGCATTAAGACCTTTGTTAAGTCCTTATTGAGCTTTTGAGTCCCATTTTGCCATGCAAGCACGTAAAGTTGCCAACTTTACATGATAAGTAGTCTTATAGAATCAGATTCGAGAGTTTAACACTTTGTTTTAACAAATTAAGGGCTTATTGGAGTGAAAAGGTGGATGGTGGAGTACGCAGAGCGTACCTAAGAGTATGCTCAGCGTAATGCTGAGTTTATGCATTATGGACTTGTACAGTATGCTTTGGGGGCGTACCACTCTGGTACACAGGGCGTACTCCCCTAGTGTGTCAATTTTGGGCTTTTGAGGATGGGTCATTGTTAGGTTTTCTTAGTTGGGCCTTGATTAGGCCATTAGACTTCTATGTTGGGCTTATAGTTTGTATCTTTTGGGGTCCTTTGGATTTAGGCCCATGATGAGTTTTGGGGGCCCAATTTGGAAGATTGGGCCATATTGGGCTTTGGAGCATCATCAGGGCCGACCCATGGACCAGGTCAAGCTTGGCGATCGCCCTGGGCCCCCAAATGCCAAAAGGCCCCTTTTTTCCTATTATATTGGATTTTACTGTGTTATCCCATTGTTTTTAAGCCTAATAGATTGGCCTAATAGTCCAATACTGATCGCGTGCCAAGAGAGGGCGCCGAAAGCGAGATTACATAGCGTGTGTAAGTTGTCAATTTCCTATTTTCAAGGCTCATCAACACTAATAGATCACGGTAATCGATTTTTATAGAAACTCCAAACGCCATCGATTCCACTTCTCCAACCAACAGTTAGTTCTTCACTTGTTTCATTTGTTATTGGATTTCTTAATGTTCTTATTTGTTTCTGAAACTCGGTTCTTATTCACCAGATGATTTTTTCTTGTGTTTTCCATTTTATTTCTGAAACTCGATTCTTATTCACCAAATGATTTCTTATTCATCTCTTCTTATTTCTGATCTGTTATATTTTCTATAGCACCGCTGCATCAAATGAGAAGTGTTAGGATTTCTTCTAAATTTGAACTTGGAAAATCGAGAGTCACTAACATTTCTTTCTGAATTGGAAGTTAGATAATCAAGAGTTAGAGACCCATTTGGTTTATGAATTTGAATTTGTGTAAGATTAAAGCTTCTTGAACTTTCTTATTCTTCTAAATCTGATTTTGCCTTTCTGAACTTCTATTTTTTTGTTACATTGTAATACGAATTTCTATTTCTTATACTATGTAATTTGGCTTGGTTTTATGTTGGTGATGTAAGTGAGATTAACTGATGAGATATGCACGACAGCACATTACTCAAGTTATCTCTATTGCTTATTCAAAGGTTTTTAAGTGTGTATTGGTTGCTGTTGTACAATAATTTAAAGTACATGACCATTTGAATTCTATTGGCAAGGGCAATCATGGAAAAAGAAGTATTTTTTAAATTGTTAGTGCCTTCTTCTTTCATACTTTCTAAAGTTAAATTGTAATCCACTCGTTGCAAAGGGTAAAAATGGAAAAATAATTAGTTTTTTCTTGGTTGTAGTAGCTAACTTGCAAACTATTTTTTTTATTCATTCCGTTGATCATATTCCTCATTTTTGTTTAATTTAAAGTTTTAGGACCTTTTTTTACAAAAGTAAAAAGTCATGATAAATATTTTTTATACACATATTAATTTATTGTAGTAAAAAACAAATATGATTTGAAAGTCATTTTAATCTCTCTTTAAACCGAACCAAAAAACCAAAAACCTCAAACTTAATTAACCAAAACCGATTAAACCATATTATTTGG